GCAACCGCCCCCCCGCCAGGCCCTGTCCCGCCACAGAAGCCTCCTCACCTGCCTCCTCTCGGCCAGGGGCCCTCTGCGCGGCAGCTTCGGTGGAGCTGAGCCGGACCTGGCTGAGGCGCGGCCGCCCCAGAGCGCGGCGCGTCTGGCTTGTCCCCGACACGGGGAAGCGCAGCCGGCACCACGGCAGCAACAGCTCCAGGCGGGACGCCATTACCGAACGTGAGGCGCGGGTAAGGGTGAGCCGCCGTGCGCAGGCGCGAACTCGCGCGCTGTACGGAGCGGCACGAGAGTCAAATCTCGCACCTAGTTCTGCTTCTTGGCTACTAGAGTCCAGCCCTGCCTTGCGCCCAGGAGCTCCAGCCGGACTCAGTGGGAGTGGGATCCGATCCTCCAGCCCCCGCCCGTGGGCCGGGACCCATTCACTTCACCGGGCTCGGGCCGGATCCCGCGGGGTGAGGGCGCTGCGAGCCCCTGGGCGCTGAGCATCCCGCAGGCGGGGTCCCCGGCGCCACCAGCCCGTTGCGCCCCGGTCGGGAGCGCGTGCAGCGCTCGCTCCGCATTAGGGGGTGTAGCGGGCACCTAATGGCAAAGAGACGCTCCTCCCTTTCATGCACAACGCGTTGCCGCTGTGCGAGAGCCCCGGCGTGAGCGAGGCTTGGAAACACGCGTTTCGGCTGAAGGAGGCGCTCCGAGGGGCTCCTCGCTGGAGTCCACCCCCCGGCCGGAGGCACAAGCGAAGGCCCCAGTCCTGCAAACAGTAACCCACGTGCTAACCCTCCCGGGGGGGGGGGGAGGGGGAGGGGAGGGGAGGGGCAGCCTGTCACTGCCTAGTGTGACCGGGCCCACGGGCTCCTACTTCCCGGGACATAAAAGCAAAGGCGGGTGTGAAACAGACGCCGAAGAAAAGGGGACGAGCCGTGCAAGGGTTTGGGGAAGCAGCCAGGACCCCGTTGTGAGTGATCTGATTATTTGATAAAGTGAAACAGAATACTGCATATTCCCTATTCTTGTTATTGACGTAAACACACACAGTGAGCTACTGCAGTAAATTCAGAATACAGACTCTGTACCTTTACTGCAGTACAGCCATGACAACATGCCTACCTTTGTCAGTGGTATAACTGTACCATTACACGTACCCATAGTGAAACGTTACAGCTATTCATTTCCCTAGGTTACATCTTTTAGAGGTCTCTTTGGAGGGCTCATTTGGCCCTGCACAGGTGTATAAAGTTAGCATATGAGTGGTTGTAGGATCAGAAACTTGAGATAAGACCGTGTGACCTTGAGCAAGTCACACCACCAGTCTCATTCTCAGTTACCCCATCTATCAAATGGAGATACCTAATTTTGTATAGTACCTTGAAATTTATGGATGAACATTTATATCAGTGTAAATAATTATTTTGTAATCTTAGCCTTGGTTTTAGGATGATACAGGAGAGAGGGAAGAAGATCTTTTAAAGATTACTTCTAGAATTATTCTTCCATGTGACCGGAACATTTCAATTTACTCCACCTATATGTAGCAACTGTGTGTTTTTCCTCTGGAATACTATGACGCATTCCTCATAAATTCACTGATGTGCTTAAGAGGAAAACTCCTCCTCTTCTTCCTGTGAGGCTGGTCTAAAAGAAAAATGATCTAATTAAAATTAATTGTGGGTGTAAGAAAACTAACAACCCCACCAGGTTCCTGAATAATAGCTAAGCTCCAGCTGCATGGTAGCTGGTACATAACCCACCACTAAAACTGTGTTGTTCAAATTCATCCTCCCAACTTCTAGTCTCTGTGCAATTCCACCCTTTTCAGTACCCCAGCTCTCACTTCTTAGAGCAGTAGTTCTCAACCTTTCCAGACTACTGTACCCTGTTCAAGAGTCTGATTTGTCTTGCATACCCCCAAGTTTCACCTCATTTAAAAACTACTAATTGCTGGCTTTCTTTTTTTATACTATATAATTTTAAAATAAATCAACTTGAATATAAAAATTGTACAGAACTTACATTGCAGTGTATAGTATATAGAGCAGTATAAACATGTCATTGTATGACATTTTAGTTTGTACTGACTTCACTAGTGCTTTTTATTTAGCTTGTTTTAAAACTAGGCAATATCTAGATGAGTTGATGTACCCCCTGGAAGACCTCTGTGTGCCCCAGAGGTACGTGTACCCCTGGTTGAGAACCACTGTCTTAGAGGACACCTAAGTGTTGCAGGAAGTGGTTTAGGTGCTCGCTAGGTGGCAGTCTGTAATTCTAGAGGATCTCTCTTCCCTCTAACTAACCAAGTGCTAACTTATGGAACAGAGTGTTAGATGGAGCTATGCTGCTGGAGCTGTTGCCTTGTGGATGCATAGACAACTGGTGCCTCCTGGTAACTGGGGGGGCACAATGTAAAGGGGGAACATGTAACCCCCCCCCAGTTGCATCTGGGGGGAACTTCCAGCCCTACCTCCCTGGGCCAGGGTTGCTAATTCCTCCAGCTCCTCGGGAGCTGGGGCCACAGGAGTGGGGAGCATATGCCTCTGCACCCGGCTGGGGCCAGCCCTGGCCCAGGGAGACTCACAGCACCAGGGTCTGCCTGGAGATCTTGGACACCTCAGCAAGGGGTGGGGCATGGGCAATGAGCAAAAGCCAGGGAACCTGCTCCTGGTACTATCCCCAGCGACCCCTGCACCCAGCCCAGGCCTGCCACACTTTCCCCACCCCACCAGAGATACCTGTGGAGGAGGGCTCTGTACTTCTCCTGTCATGCCATGTCCCCCCTCCCCCCCACACACACATATTTGGCCACTTTCCCTGGCAGCAGAGGCTGGGTGGGGAACAGGAGGGAGCCGATTCTTACGCTGGCTGAAGATGGCCGCTCCAGGTTGCTGACTGTGCAGCGTGATAGCTGTATGAGAGCACCTGGCTAGGAAAGCGGCAGCAGCCCACTGCCTACACTCCCTGCCCAGGCCCGACTGCCAGGGACAGGGGCTGAGCAAGCCAAAAACATGCGGGGGAAAGGGAGGACTCTGGCTTAGTTGGCCCCTGTCCCCGGCAGCCAGGCCCAAGCTGCCTCCCCAGCTGGGTTCTCGCAGGCAGTTGCCATGCTGCAGAAAGCAGCAGCCTGAGAAGTGGCTGGTCCTGCTCCCAGCCCAGGCCCAGCTGCCAGGGACAGGAGTTGAACAAGCCAGGGGGAGGCCCAGCAGAAGGACAGATCCCTTCCTGCCTCCCCCCTGCAGGCTGAGCAGAAATCTGGGGGGCACTTGATGCTGCATGGCCCCTCTACGGATTGCTATGTTTGGATGAGATGTAGTCCTGAACATTTGTAGTGATTCCAACTCTCGTGACATTTTCCAAGAGTAAAGGTTTTTCACCCAGGGCTGTCACCAAATTCTAAGTTATTTACACTGCCTGCCTAAATCCTCTAGCAGTTTCAGCTAAAGAAGGTAGTCACTTCCTGCTCTAAGTGTGCCAGTGTCTTGCTGTTAAACAGCACCTCTGGTCCACCAATAGGTGACTGCATTTCAGTGGTAAGCGAAATGGTTGCCAACCCTCATGATTTTGTCACGAGTCTCATGATAATTATTGTTTTTCTTAAAGCACCAGCTCCTGGAGTCAAGTGGATATGTGATAATTTCAGCCTTCATTCTTAAAGAGAAACTCCTCATGGCTGTGGAGAAAGCTTTAAAATGTGACCCCAGTGCACCCTAAAGACTCAACAAGCAGAAGGCAAATAAAAAGAACAGCAAATCTATTATTTTAAAGTCAATCTCATGATTTTTGGTGTGCCTGATTCATGATGTTTGAACATTTGGGGTTGGCAATACTGGATGCCTCTCATGTGGGGTTGTGAGACTTAATTAGTAATCTGCATTAAGAGGTTTGGCGGGAGTTCTGTGAGCTAAGGGGGCTGGAGAGGAGCTGCTTGGTTATGCTGTTCAAGCTGTGTAAGCCTAGGTGCTCCCACAGGCTGGAGCCCTAGCATATTTGGTTACCGTGTATATGATGGATACCCGAAAGACCTCCCCCTCCTTGTTTGTATCATACGGGGAAGGGCATTGCGAAACGGTCAGGCCGGCGGCCGGGCAGCTGGGCGGGGACTTCTGGTAACTGGGTCAGCAAAGCCAAGAACAATCTGCACTTTCCGCTGGGGAGGGCAGAGTAGCTAGTCTCCTTCCTTCTCTCTTGCATTGCACCGGGGTGGGGCCGGATATATACCCCCCCCCCAATCAGCTCCCTTGCATTGCACTGGGGTGAGACTACGCCCCCACATCAGCTCTCTTGTATTGCACCGGGGGCGGGAATATACCCCCCCGGACCCCCCCAATCACCTCCCTTGCATTGCATCATGGGGGGGGGGGGGAGATAGGGAGTACACCCCCTGTCAGTTCCCTTGCACTCGCACTGGGGTGGGAGTCAGGAATAAGCTCCCCCCGGGCTGAGGATCGGGAAAATATACCCCCTTCCCCATCAGCTCTCTTGCATTGCACCGGGGTGGGGGTCGGGACGATGCTCTTAGGGTCGCGAAGAGAAAGATCTTCACTCCAGCTCCCTTGCACGTTACACAGCGGGAGGGGACGGGAGACTTTGCTCCTGCCATGCGTTGCCCACAAGGGGTAGCGTTGTGGCCCCGCGGACCCCCCTTCGGGGCTAGGAAAGACCTTCCCCAGCAGAGCTCAGGTGGGAGGCGGTGGATTTTCCGCCGGTTTCACGACGCGCTGGCCTTTCTCTTTCGGGTTCCGGCAAGTGAAGTAGAAACTACTTCAGGCCCTTCCCGCGGGTGCGTCACCGCCCCCAGGGCGGCTGCTCAGGCACCCGGAGCTACCTGCTCTTCCGCCTCTCGCGGAGTTGCCAGCTGGAGCTCTGCGCTGCCGATGCGCCCGTCACTGCTCCGCTGGATGCGCCCGGCCGGCGCCCCGCTGACTGGAGCCCTGCCTCCCGCGGGGGCGCATAGTGGCAGGTAACGCTGGGAGCGGGGCTGGGCGGTGTGCGCCGGGGGAGGCGGGCAGCGGGGAGATCCCTAGCTGGGGCGATGGAGCCTCTCGTTTCAGGGGCCGCTGAGCGCTCCCCACCACATGGCTAGAGCATCTACCCCTGGGTTAAGGGATATAACTGTTTCTGGGCTGGGGGCTTGGGGTGGGCGTTCCTGTATATCGCCCTCCAAACACACCGGGTCCAGGAACTGCTCTCGAGATGAGACTGGGGCCTCCCAGACGCTGCGAATTGCTGGAGCTGCCATCTCCGCCAATGGAATTTCATTTGTTCAAACCCAATCGGTATTGTTTGTAAAATGCGTTGGCAGCTGTTGCCAAAATTGGAGGGGAAACGATCTGTGCACAAACTGTTCACTGTATTGGAGTGGGATGCTCCTTGCTGTTGGAAAGAAATGTTGCCTAGAATGGAAATGTGTAAAAAAATATGAATTTTGGGGAGGAGGGGAAGTTAAGGAAGGAGAGTGGCTGGAGTCTTCGCTTTTTCCCCATGACACTTTTGGTGGGTTTTAATGACGCACACGTAAAGATAGAAGAAGTGGTGAGTGAGACAGTGTAGCAGGCAGTAGTGTAGACCTTGTTCTCTATTGAAGTGAAATGTTTAGTGTAACCCAACCTATTCCCTGGGGCTCCAGCAGGGGCATTGCTCACAAATTAGCACTCCCTGCCCAATGCCTCCTTGGCTGTGAGCATGGGGATTCAAAACCAAATTCCCATGAAAGACTTTTCCTGTAAACACCTGAAATACATCTCTTTCTTTATTCTCCAATCACACCATGTTAGCACACATCAGTTTTCCTCAGTTGTGAGAGGAAAATGGCAATGTCTGAAGGCTATTTTTAAGGACTTCTGGAGAGGGGAAAAAAGAATATTCCTTTGACCCACATTGAAGTATGTGTTCTAGGTCAATACATGGCCTCACCATGAATTATCTGCTTTGGTCATGTATTTTACTATGGCGAGTTGTATTAAATCAGGTATCGGAAAGATGTAGTCAGAAAACATATTCCTCGAAAATTAGATTATGTCCCTGCTAAAGAGGAACATAGCTGATGTAATGCACAAAGGTATGCCTGTGTATGCTCCTAATGGGTCTGTGGCTCACACACTTGAAGCTTGAGTTGGCCAGGATTGTGTTTTAACTAGCTGATAAAGCCCCGATACCCAGGAACCTTTTCCGCCTCCCATTGAATTAGTTAAACACTATGTTAAAGCACTGTTGTTTAAAGGCTACATAATAAACTCTAGACCAGGTCCACTTTAAATATAGATAGAACAAATGGCTGTTCAAGGTACCACAGTTGTAGTAGGTCATATTATTTAATGACATTGTATAAATGGCAGTGAGGTGCAGGCATGTTCTAGTTTGCCTGTGAAAAACCTTTTGAAGGGATTCCTGTCTCCTAATGAAGATTACTGTCCAGAAAATATTCCATCACACTCTCTATATTCAATTAATAGGATAAAGACACGGACAAATTCTGCTTTGAATTACATGGGTGTAAGTCTAGTGTAACTCCACAGAGTTTAATGAAGTAACACCAAATGTCTGTCTATGGAACTCAGCATAGAATTTGGCCCGCTATCAGTAGCTAGTGGCAAATATAAAAATGGGGGAATTACCTGGTACTAACAAAGTCCAGGAACTATGTGATGATAAGAAGCCTAGGGATGTTGCTTAGAAGGTGCTGGGATTCCTATCAAAGCACTGTCCATATTCAGGGGTTCTGTCTACCTTATTAGCCTGTGACTAGCAGCAGTCTGTTAAGTTTGAAAATTCCCCTGTAGAGTTCCTTAAGCTGTAGATTGAAATTGACATGGTTCTTGTCAATTTCATGGCTCCTCTCCCCAATCTGAACAGCCCTAAAGACAATTTAAAGTTATTTAGATTTTTACACTGCTGCAGGTGTCTTTGCTCCGTTTTTATGGGAGCTTCTGTCTGCAGACTAAAGGAGATATAGTTGTGTTGGGAAGGTTATCAGTTACAATCATTAGGGCTAGAAGTTTTTTTTCCTGTTGAGAGCCTAAATTTTGTAGGAATAAATGGCATAGGCTTTTCTGAAGGGAAAGTTTCTTCTTCTTCGATGGTGGGAGAGTGTACTTTTCAAGCTCTGTCAATCTTTCCTTGAAATCACTTAAAGTAAAAATACAGGTTTCACTCTTTTACGTATAACTGATGGCCAGTCACACTACAGTAAGACCATGGCTTTTTCTTTTTTTAAATAAGGAAAAAGATAAGTAGAGATGTGGTTTCATTGAGTCAATTAGTTTTCATTTTCAGGCCCTGATCCTGCAAGGAATCCTGCATGGATGCAGGTGCCCCGGGGACTCAGAAAATTGAGACCTCCAGTTATGTGTAGGGTTTTTGGTTTCTTTTTAAGACTGAAAATGCAGAAGTTGTTAAAGCAACAGTTTTTCTTTTTCTTGTTTTGTTTTGTGAGGAGGCTTGTGACTAAAAACTGCTTTTGAAAAATAGTGTGACTTGCTAATTGTTCATGTGATGATGATGATGAAGGGATGACAGATGATAAAGGAAGTCTCATGCTTAAACTTTAGCCAGCTCACATAAATGCATACATTTTATTTATTTGGATTCTGTAGGTGAAAGCAGAATTCTATTTAAAAATATGAGTAAAACCAATTTACAGACTTTTGATTTCTACAAATATTTGGACAACACAATTAAAGTGGCAGTGACTTGATCCCCATTTTGCACATTCAAATATACACAGTACTAAGTGGGCTTGGGGGAAAATAGTAAATTCTCCAGGGGCAAGTGGGAGCCATCCTTGTTGCGTGGTGCTTAAGATGCTAAAATTCTGCAGAAATTAGCTTTCTTTTTTTAAAAGAAAAATTTTCTAAACCTTATTGTAATGAAAATCATCTTCCAAATAAAAAAAAGTGTCGTTCATTGCTTTCTCCACACCTGCAGTAACCGCCTAAGTCTCTGATGCAGTCTGCATTTTCCCAAGCCATAGATAAGTAAAATTGACAATATTCTGGCCATTTTCATTGCTGCTCAGACCTTTGTGGGCAACAGCAGAACTGTCAATGTGAGTAAAATGCTGCTGCTTGGGAAAGTCTTGAGAAACAGCAGTGAAGTCAGGCAGTGGAGTTACTTCTAACAGAGGCTGTTGGGGAGGTAGGCCTTATCTATGCTATAAGATTTCATTGTATCTGAACATGATAGCTGTCAATAATTGTGTTAGCTGAACGCCAGTTTATATGATTGGCAAGTGTGTTCAGACACTGTACAGATTTGTAAAAAGGACCTGCCCCATCTATAGCAGCCAGCAAGCCCTTTGAGGAGGAATCATAAAGGTTGTTCTCCTTTCTAGCAGTTTAAGAGTGGGCAGGAGAGTGGATTGGCATGTATACATCTACTAGCCAGTGTCTGATACAAAAAGAGAGACCCCAAAGTAGGATCCAAGGATAGCACTGGGGTAGAAATCCCAGTGCTCTTTCCTTTCTCCCAACGGCTGGGGTAGTAATTGGAGTAAACTTCACACCAGTGCATTACCTCCCGGCTTTCTGGTATGTGCCCTCCCTACCCACTTTCATATCTGCCTCTGGCTCTGGTTAGTCGGTGTCTGCTACAAAATGCTGGGATTTTTTGTGTCCCTCCCACCCTTATAATGCTAGTAATTACTGCTAGTGCCATGCTTTACTCAGCTCCCCCAAAGCCCCCTTCTTAAGGCCAGGGGCATATGTGCTTGCATTCACTTGGCACAGGTGATCTGAACTGGTCTAAGTTAATGCAGCAACATTAATTTATGCTGCACGTGGGTGTGGGGAGATGCTGCTGCTTTCTGCCCCCTTCTCTTTTTAGCCATGGAGCCTGAAGGGACTGCAGAAAAGCGGGGGAGTATGTTGCAGAGCTGCCACTTCCCTTTCCGTGGTCCAGATCTGCTGAGTTTTCCTGACCTACACTCAAACCTGCAGCATGTGGTCTGACGTTATCAGCCAAGTCAGCCACGTCATTTTCTTTACTTTTCTCCAACGCTGGTTCTGACGTAAATGCTCTTGACTTGAGAAATATTTGCCAGAAGGGTTCCATGACCTCACAGGGAGGGGAACAAAGATAACATCTTGACCAGAAACTAGAGCTAGGCATGCTGCACTTCCTAACAGCCTTAGCAGATTATGTCCGCTTAGGTGTCACTTTCTGGTTTTCCTCTCCTACCCTGAGTACGTGGGTGTATTAGATTATGGAAAGGGCAAACAGAAGATCTGTGAATGGAATGCACTTTACTCCATTCTAGGGGAAAGGCAGGATCTTCTTTCCCTTGTGTTTCCAAATGGCAGGCATAGAAATTAAAACGTGGAAACCGACACTGCAGGACTGATTTCCTACCCTACTTGGAAATCTAGATCTTTTTGATTCTCATGTGCACTCATAGTTTTTTCTTCAAAAATTCCCCTTATCTGAACCTTATGATCTTCTGCTTTTCTTTCCATGAGACCAGTGAAGTGAATGATCATATGAGCATGGGGCAGTCATTCAGTGTTATGAGGTCTGTCATTTCTGGACAGGTTTGCAGAGTGTTTTGAAAAGAACAAACAAAAGTGCAGAATTTTGTGTCGTCAACTGTGAAGAGGGACTGAATATACAGAAAAATCTGATTGAACTCATTATATTAGGGTGTTTTTAATGGTTTTGTGCAGTGCAACCAGAATTAATTTCAGGTAAGAGTTCATTGGCTAATGAAATCTGCATGAAAGAGAGCCCCCTTAGTCTTATTTAACCTGGATTTTAAGGGGGCTGGGTGTGTGGATGCAGTTTGAGTAGGAAGGTTCTTAGCATTTGTGGGTTGGGGAGTAATTTAAATTTTTGTTAGTGGAAAAGTGCTCTATATAAATTGAAAAACAAACGAAGAACAAATGTATAACCGGAACGAAGAGGAGGATGGTAAGGACAGACATACTTTTTTCAGATTACTGAACTGTAGCATTTTCTTGGCTGCTCTGAATCCTCTTATGCTCTTGCAGGTTTGAATACTGAGCGTTTTGTAGCATATATATACTTGCCTCTTAAAGTCAAACCCCATAGTTTTTATACTGTATAGATTATTCTGTGGTAGGCACTAGTGGTGATGCACCATTTAATTTGTACCACGGTGTTACACAACCTGCATTTTGCTTCTCTCATTGTTTGCTGATCAATATCCTTGATGACTGAATTCTTTATGGGCTATCTAGTGTTCTTTGGGAGTCATAGCGGAGAAGGAGAAATGACACTTTTTTGTAAAGCTGTTGTTCGCTTCTGATATAAAAACAAGGTATATTACTAACACTTCAGTGTACTGCTAATTATGTGCAGATTTACTACTTATATGTGGAAAAAAGAGTTCAATTTAAAATCTAATAGTATAACAAATACACATTCATCATTCTGTTCTTTAAGTGCTTATTTAGCCAAAACTATTTGTTTAGATGCTGGTAATGCTTCTAACGTTTATTTTTGTTTGCCTTTTACAGGTGAAGTTTAGAAAACCGGATAGTAATGGAGTATATGAGCACTGATAGTGACAATAAAGGGGAGATTGACTTGTTGCTAACACACTTAAATGTGTCTGATGTGATAGACATTATGGAAAACTTTTACCCAAATGGAGAGCTGGCAGTTTACGAAGACAGTCTGATTACTATGTGCCAAGAAACAAATCAAAATGGGGGATGTACAGAATCCTTATTATTCCATGGAAGAGAGGTTTCTTTGCTGTCATGTGTCAGGTATGGGACTGAAGAAGACTTGCTCGCTTTTGCAAATCAGGTGTCCAACACTGCAAAGCAAATTAATGGACAAAGACGACAAGAATCTGGAATCCTATTAAACATGGTAGGTCATTTTGCATGAAAAAGAGAATAGAAATTTTTGAATGTAATTACTGCAAACTAAAAACAAACCTACAAATTCTTAAACACACACTGACATAGTGACACCCAACAATAACAATGGGAGGTATGTCATAATTGTAAGGAAAAGAGTGATCAATAAGATTATTCCACTTGACTTTTTGGGGGGATGCTTTTTGATTAAATTCAATATTGGAACAGTGTATCTCAATAGAATTACTTCTCCCTCTTAATGCTTACTGGTACAAAATGTGATAATCTGATATACACACAATCTATTTACAGACTGTAGAAAATTACAATAAGGAATGGTTAGCAATGCAGTGATTGTTTATGAATTACAATATGCTTTGTTACCACAACTCTCAAATGCCCCTCATTTTGAGGTACATTGTTCATTTTGGTCCCAAAGTTATTTGCGTTCTATAGAAGTCTTTTGTTGAAAACTACTTACATCCATAAATAAACCGTCGTGGAACAGAGTGGTAGAAAGAGTTATGCACACAAAACAAATGAATCCCAGAGCATTTAAAGTTTCCAGGAAGGATTTTTTGTGTGTGTGTCTCTTCCTCATTTTGGATCTTTGCCACACTTTGCATCCCACATTTTGGCCTTTGGTAGGTAGAGAGGCATGTTTGTTATCCTGATATATGCCCCCAGTCTGAAAACCCTGGATCTGAACTTTGGGAACATTTGAACTCTGGACTTGAGCCTATCTTTTATACACAGCCGTGAGTAATGATAACTATGAGTGATGGCTTTCAGAGCAGTCCTATTATTACATGTTCTAAGATTCAAAATTAAAAGCTCAAAGGAGTTGGTGGAAATCTAAAAGTGAGGGCTGGTGGTTTCACTAATTCTTGACCTTAGGTCCTGGGGTATAAAGAATTTGTTTCTGTTGACTCAAAGCTCTTGTCATCCTTAAATCTCCTAATATGGTGGCCTTCCAGCTGTCAAGAGACCTTCAGGTTAAAGATTGAGCATATATAAATAACAGAGACAAGTTCTAAACCTGAATGAAAAACAAATGAGTCTAAACTCTCAAATGTACTGTTTATTGTATACTGTACTATGACTATTTCTTTTCTTGGGTTCAAAATTCTCTCTCCCTCTCTATCCTAATCTAAATATTATCATGGCCCCCATCACCAGAACACCCCTTTTCGATGTGTTCTGTCTGTTGTGTTAGCAAGGCATTAGCGCAATCATAAACATTTGAGACAATTGGGATTAAGTTTTGCAAAATGTGCAGTATTTTTGTGAACATATGTTCACTTTTTAAACTAGATGACTGTGAAATGTGGCTTTGCTTATTTAGCCTATGCATAGAAACTATTGAAAATATTGTGCGGCATATTTGTGATGCACCTGGTTAGACTTTCAATTAGGTACATGGTTATTTTGTGTGCATATCATTTATTCAGACAGCAGATATGTGGGTGCAGGCAACCAGTTAGGCAACTGAGGAGTGGAGCCCAGGGTATTGCCAACAGGTCACCTCTATGTGGATCCACCAGTCTCTGCCCACTGAAAAGTGGAGGAGAGGCGGGGTAGGTGCCAGAATGATTGTCATCTTTGGTCTGCTGCAGTGGAAGCCGAGTGGTTCCACCGCCATGCAGTTGTTGGTGGGACAGCTGTCCCTCCATCCCATTCCTTTGCACTCACTTACATAGCTTGGCCTCAAGGACTTCATTCTGGGATGCAGGAATTGCCCTTTTAGTGAAAAGTCTACAGGGCTTATGTTTTTTTAGTTACTATCATATCCTGTGTTTTAGTAACCAAGTTACCTGTGTATTTTTCAAGCCACTTTAAATTAAATGAGATATAAATAAATTATCCTACGGTGATCATAATTTAGGGAACATGTTTCACTACATGTTCAGTTTCTCATTCCACTGAGGTGAGAGATCAATTGCCCTCACAAAATGTGCTGGGTTAGCACACCAGAAATTGTGATGTTTGACTGATTCTGGCCTCTATTCTTAGTTTATTTTTAATAAAGTTTTCATCTTGTTTTTTAAAATTACCATTGAACCTTGAAGATTACTTCAAAGCATCTCCATTTTCTAAACAACCCAGTAGCTAGATTTAACAAAAGTGAAATTACCAATTGCTCCATTGGTCTTGGTTTTCCCATGGAGCCATTCATATGTTTTTAGGGCTCCAAGATAAAAAGTCCTGTGGCTTCCAGAATACAGAATTGCTTTTGCACCTTCTGACAGAGTCATCAAAGTTTGCTCTGGCAGAATTTTGGAAGCGGAGAGAACCTCCTGATGATATCTTGTGGTCTCGGAAAATATAAGAAATTTTATAAGGGGAAAACTCACGGTTGATCTGTGGCAGAGGGAGAGGCCATAATAGTTTCTTACAAATGTATCTGCTAATTTCTAAAAGATGAAAACATTTCTGAGAAATATGAAATGTTGTTTTACTGGAAAACTTATTACATTCTTCAGCCTCTGTGCTAGTAATGTACAGAATGAACAGAGAGATGGACATTAAATGTATGCTTCTTTTGCATCAGTTTTTGCTCCACTATCCACAATGTGTGTGTAGTGTAATTTGAAATATAACAACTGGTCTTTGTGTCTGCTCATAATCATCAAAATATAAACAAAAAGCTTTCATTATTTTAACATCTTGAAACAAGTTTAATATTAAATATGTACAATCTCATTCTTTCAGGTAGGTGAAATACATAAATATCAGTTTTGTCAGTTGAGAAAATCCTTTTGTTATTGAAAAACCTCTTCTGTTATTTAAAGCATAGATAGATCAGATTTGTTTTTACATGAATGACACTTTAAAAACATTAATCTCCACAACATGCTATTTTATGTAGCGTGCAACTGAGGTGCTTTGCAATACAGTATGTGAGACACCTTGCATCACAGGTGTGAAACTAATGTACAGTAACTCCTCGCTTAACGTTGTAGTTATATTCCTGAAAAATGTGACTTTAAGCGAAACAATGTTAAGTGAATCCAATTTCCCCATAAGAATTAATGTAAATGCGGGGGGTGGGGGGGGGTGTTAGGTTCCAGGGAAATTTTTTTCACCAGATAAAAGGCTATATTTATATTTACACACACATACACACACACACACTTTTAAACAAACAATTTAATACTATACACAGCAGTGATGATTGTGAAGCTTGGTTACGGTGGTGAAGTCAGAGGGTGGGATATTTCCCAGGGAACGCCTTACTGCTGAATGATGAACTAGCACTTGGCTGGGCCCTCAAGGGTTAACTCATTTTGTGTGTGTGTGTGTGAGAGAGAGAGAGATGCATTGCCCCTCTATGTACATTGCCTTTTTAGGTTCATAGATCAGCAAATTGATACAGCAGCTGCTCCCAGCAAGTTCCCTCTGTCCTGAACCCTGTCGTGTTTTCCCCCTCCCCCAGCTCTATGGAGATGGGGTAAGCGAGGAGCAGGGACACCCTGACACATTAGCCCTTCCCTCCCCCGCACAGTGAGCAGGAGCAGTACATGGCAGTGGGGGGAGGGACAGCTGAACTGCCGGCAATTGATAGCCTGCTGGGTGGCTGCTGCTCAGGGAATTTAGGGGAGCTGATGCGGGGGCTGCCAGTCCACTCTGTTTCCAAGCCCCCACCAGCTAGCTCCACCAGGCTGCTCTTTCAGCAAGCAGTGGACAAAGCAGGCAGCTACCAAACAACGTTATAAGGGGACCTGGACGACTTTAAGTAAGGAGTTACTGGACTGCATTGGTCCATTTTTGTTTCTTTACGTGAATTCAGAACCTTGTTAAATCCCAGAAAACAGACTATCCATATCTGGAATATATCTTTATAGTAAAATAAGACTGAATTAATTGAAAACTTATTCACTGGAAGTATAATAGCATCAAAAATTGAAGTGCTTAGTATAGCATCAATAACACTTACAGATTTATAAAATCACGTAGAACTTTGTTTCATGGTATAATTCAAACAATGTGAGGACACATGGCAAAGTTTAAGCCATATTTCTGCATTTTAGTAAGCTGCAGAAAATCTCATCTCTTGATCATTTGTTAGTCTTATTCTCCTGCACTACATGTGATGTTGGGAAATGCAGAAAGTCTTACTCATCTTCGGTAACATAGTCTGTGAGTAATAGCTATGTGGCATAACAGGTTATCCGATTCCAGTAAAGAACAAACAAGCCTTCAGGTACACTTGCACAACCCTCATGCTTAGTCTCAGTAAATGTGGTGGTGTTGTCAGGCAATTAATTGCAACTTATAGAAGATTAATCATTGGATAAAAATGTAAATATATCTGCCAGTAATGAGTAGGCCTCACGCTATTCTCATTCTATGTTTCTAAATAAATACTATCATAGGAATCACATGTGTGCAAAGGTGTTTGATCAGGAAGTGCTGAATTAAGTAGACTTAAGTGATGACATGATGACTGCACATGTAGAATTTTCTGAAGTTGAAGCACTTACCTTTCTAACATTTGTTTCTTTGCTTCTTTTTTTTCTTCTTGTATAGATCACTCCGAAAAATGGGCGCTATCAAATTGACTCTGATGTGCTTTTGTTTCCATGGAAGCTGACTTACAGGAATATTGGCTCTGATTTTATTCCTCGAGGAGCTTTTGGGAAAGTTTACTTGGCTCAAGACAGAGAGACAAAAAAGCGAATGGCCTGCAAGCTGGTATGTTAGTATGGTGCTTTTCTCCCCAGATAAATATAGTGCAATGTGATCTATTTAACGCATTAAAAGAGGATACTTCTGCATTTAATTTCAGTGCCAGTTGGGGTATCGCTGTTGGTTTTATTGGATTAGATGGCAGGGCGGGGGGGGGGAGGGAGGAGAGAATGTTCTAAAATTAACCTTTGCACTAATAATTTTTTTTTCAATAGCTCTTAGTGTTTGACTAAGCATGGCTTTTTTTTCCTGCTGTACTGTCAGCAAAAAGTTGAAATGTTGCATTCTGCATTTTCTAAGAACGTGCATTTCTTTAGAGGAAAACCCTCATTTTGGGGATGTAAAAGGTAACGGCGTCAGCATTCTGAAAATGTACAATGATTTGTGTAACTGCAGTGCTGAGCAGACCTGTTGCCTAGCTAGTATTCTTTGTAAGTCTTTACATTAAATCTTACAGCCATCAGTATGACACAACATTGGAGATGAAAACCTAGCCCCACTGAATTCAGTGGCAAAACTCTCATTGGCTGACTCAAATGGAGCCGCGATTTCATCCTGACTCTCTTTTGAATGGGAAAGGCTTGCATTAAGGTCCCAATTCAGCAGCACACTTACATGCTATTGATTTCACTGGGACTTAAGCTCATGTATAAATGCTTTCCTATATCGGCTTAAGCGAGACTAAATATGTGCTATTTCCATATTTGCTTTGAGTGTATTGTAAGGATAAGTAGAAAAAAATCCATGATTTTCCACAGCCTAGGGTTTTGTCTCAGGCCCATCTCTTGTATGAAAACAACTCTGCATTTATCTTCAAAGTACTATATTGTCTTTAGTAATAATCACGTTGGGCCAAACTAAAGCTCAGGTGAAGCCATGCTCAATGGCTTCCCATCCCCCCTTATAGGCCATGTAACAGTGCCAAGAGTGGGTGCCCTCCTTGCCTTTGCTCAGGGAACGTGGACCTGGCTTTCCCCTGTGCAGAAGACCTGGAAGGAGGAGCTCACATGCGCTTTCCCCATGCACCCAAACTGGGACTTCTTTAGTTTGGCACTTGTTTGTTTAGCTGCAAGTGTAAGTAGGGACAGACACACCTGTTCAGTCAGATGTTAGCAGCAGCAGCAGGTGATTCTCAGCATATAGATGAGACTTCAGATGGCTAATGGGAAAATGCAGCTTTTCTTTTTTTTCTCCTGAGCCAGGAAGTCTGGTCAGAATTTTGCCTACTCCTTTAGGTTTTGATGGGAATGGATGTTGCTAAATCGCTTTTGTCTGGGACATTACAGTCCCCTTGGGCATAAGTCCAAAAGTTGTGTCTGTTTTACACAGGATGTATCTGAAATAGAAAGGAGGAACAATTCAAGAGAGCAAAAATAAGCCTATTTTAATGAGTAAATAGTTGTATTTGCCTTTGATTTTAGTTAACATATAGAACACCAGGCCATAGAACGGCTAACTTCAGAATAAGTTTTGTTCAAGCTGGTCTGTCTTCATTTTGTCTCAATTTGCTAGGTCCCAGTGGAACAGTTCAAACCGTCAGATGTTGAAATCCAGGTCCGCTTCCGCCATGAGAACATTGCTGAGTTATATGGTGCTATTCTGTGGGATGAGACTATCCATCTCTTTATGGAAGCAGGAGAGGGAGGATCTGTCATGGAAAAGTTGGAGAGCTGTGGGCCTATGAGAGAATTCGAGATCATTTGGGTGACAAAGCACATCCTCAAAGGACTTGATTTCCTTCACTCAAAAGGAGTCATCCATCATGATATAAAACGTATGTATCTTTCGTTCTTTAAAAGGCTTTTTCTTTTCCTTGTTACACATGGAATACGTACACTTTTTTTTTAATGCTTCTACTTTAGAGGACAGTTTTTAGGTGCTGAGGACCATCAGATCCTATTGGCCTTAGAGGGGAATTGGCTGACTGACACTCAGTATCTCACAATATCAGGCCTTCAGAATAGAAGCTATTTAAACTTATCTTTTTACTGCTTTTCTTTAATGATTCTGGTGCGCGGAAACATCGCTGTTTGTTCCGGGGCGAAACGTTACAGCCCCTTAAGTAATCCAACTCAAAATGAAAAAAAGAACCTGAAGAGTTCAAACAAACACTCTGATTCAAAACTTTACCTCTCTCTTGTCTGTTTTGTCCCAGGGTGAACAGTTTGCCCTTCTGTTTTAGTTTTACATTGTTGGGGTGTGTGTGTTGTGGCTTTGCATTGCTGTTTGAGACTTTGTTCCCACTCTGTAATTGAACTAGGCACATCATTAATTTTTTATTGGGATTATAGTTTACCTTCTATCAAGGCACCTGTAAGTGCTAGAGCCCATAAATATTACTTCTGCCCAGCAACACCACAGAGGTCAAATCCTGCTTGTCTTTCTCAGGGAAGCATGGTTCTTAATTAGTATTTGGTCTCTAATATTTATTTTGCAGCTGATTCTTGCTAAACGTGGGGGTTTAAAAGTAGGACTTGAAACATCTGAACTTACTGTTAGAGTAACAATACACAAAATGGTGGCCCCAGTAGTTTGTCAAAAGCTGCTTAATCTGTGCATGTGATTTTTTTTTTTTAATCTTACAAGTAAACTTTGAAACAGTGGCAACTATTAAGTTAAATCATTTTTTTTCCTAGTTGCATTTTGTGTGTCTTTTTCCAGTAAATATCTTGCAGAGCAATTCAGTCATTGACTGTAACAATGGAATTAATTAAAAGCCTTTCTAAACACCACATATGAGTGATGGATCACATAGAATAATTGATACATATTTGACATTTTAAAGAATTTAAACTTTTTTTTTCTTTCCATTTTCCAGCAACTTTTCACTTCCCTGCTTGGGCTGGGTTAGGAGCATTGGTTAGGTAGATCAAAAGACGGGCTTGAGAGCACCAGTTTTGATTGGTGTTACCACAGGCCTGGATGCTGTGTGGTGGTGATGCATTGCATCATCTTGTGGTAACGAGATGTGTCATTGGCAAGAGAATGGGGATAAGAGGAGAATTGTGTCTGAAAGGAGCCAAGCAGCCTTCAGCTAGCCAGACAAAAGCACATGTGTGTGCAGTGTACTGAGTGGGGCAGAGGGATGTCAGTAGTGGTCCCCTCCTCCTGTTTCTATCTGAATGAAGAACTTGACTGTGGTGGAGAATGTGAATTGGCGCAAAACCAACTGAAAATGGAGGGGGAGTAGGAGACTGTCTCTGCTTCCTGGAGCTTTTAGATATTTCATCCATTCTACAAGTTGAAGTTTCAGAAATGAATTTATGTAAAATCTCTGGAGCTGGCAATGGCGTCTCCTGTCTGCTTTTGGAGGAGGAGCAGGATTGTAGTGGGTGTCTCCCCCTTGCCTTCCAGGTAGAAGAGAGGGGGCATTGGTGGAAGGGATGAATCTTTCTTTAGGGGAGAAGAGGTCAAAAAGGACTCCCAACTGGGACAATATTTCTTTCCCCTCCAGGTTCTGTTGGTGGGGAAATCTCAAACTCCAGGATCCGCTTCAGATTCCCCTACCAGCAAATCCTCCCTTCGCCATCCCCCAGTGGAGGAGAAATTCAGGGGAGCAGACCTCCACCAGGCGAGGGCCAGGAAGAGAAACTCCCCCTTGGCTTTCAGCTGCACCTCTCTGAGCTCCTTATTTTTAACCCCTGGCTAAGATGCTGTGATATCAAGAAACTGCTCTTTTGAGGCCCAATCCAAAGCCCATGAAAGTCAATAAGCATCCTTCCGTTCACTTGAGTGAGCTCAGAATCAGGCCCTTGGTATTTGCATCTCTGCCAAAATGAGGAGTTACTGGAAGTCTTGTGCTAGAGCTTACCCAGATAAGATTTCAAACACTTATCTCAAACTTTGTAGTCTAGGGAACAATAAGTGCAGTTACAGGCACCTATCTCAGTTACTACTTGTGTTTCTAGCAGGGTCACGTTCTGCACTCTCTTGTTCACTTTCGTACTGTATTAATCTGTGTCTTCACAACTGTGCTAACAGATGTTAATAAATCTGTGAAACCAGAGAGCAGACTCATAACCAGAAAAACAGCTGAAAGCTCACTTAAAGAACCAGTAAGGTGCAAAATGACGAGTCTGCTTAATTTTTCAACTTGTACGAAGGCAGATTCTCAGGGACCACAAGGTTGGATGCGGTTTTGGTTTTTGAGTTTTGGGCAAGCAGAAAATCCCCTTTTTAAAAACACAAATATCTCCCACTACTCATTTGAAAAGAAGAATGGCTGCAAGGATTTAGCTCAGACTTTCCACACACGCAAAAACAACTTCAACCCATAGGTTGTTTTTAAACATGGAAAGTTTCATCCCCCAAAGAGTTGGGTGTGGTTTTTTTATTTTATTTATTTATTTTAAGTTATGAGCAATTGGAAACAACACTAATGATTTTTCTTGCAACTTAAACTATGATGTTCACTACCTTGAAAGATACAACTACATAATAAATATGTGATTCTGCAGATTACTTGGTACTTGCATTCAGGTTCCAGGATAACTACTGTAGCATGTAACCTGCACTCTGTTTTAAAAGACAATCCTGCATGGGTGTAGGAAACCATGAAAGAGACTCAGAGCAGGCCTGTGGCCAGGGGAATAGTCACTTCGTGCATGCTCTGTTCCCAATCATTTTTACAGTACCTTCTCACTTAAAGTTGTTCCAGTTAACGTTATTTCGTTGTTATGAACATTGGCCTGCTAAACCCAGGGTTGTGAGTTCAATCCTTGAGGGGGCCATTTAGGGATCTGGGGCAAAAACCTGTCTGGGGATTGGTCCTGCTTTGAGCAGGGGGTTGGACTAGATGACCTCCTGAGGTCCCTTCCAATCCTGATATTCTATGATTCTATGTTGCTGATCAGTTAGGTATCATGCTCGTTTAAAGTTGCACAGTGCTCCCTTATAACGTTGTTTGGCAGCCGCCTGCTTTGTTCACTGCGTGCAGGAAGAGCAGCCCGTTGCAGCTAGCTGGTGGGGGCTTGGAACCAGGGTGGACCGGCAGCCCCCCCATCAGCTCCCCTAAGTTCCCTGTGCGGCAGCTGCCCAGCAGGCTATCAAATGCCTGCAGTTCAGCTGTCCCTCCCCCCACTGCCATGTGCTGCTCCTGCCCTCTGCCTTGGAGCTGCTCCCTGGAGCCTCCTGCTTGCTGTGCCGGGGGGAGGGGGGCTAATGTCAGGTTGTCCCCTTCCCCCCTGCTCCTACACCCTGCTTACCCCATCTTCTGTAGAGCAGGGAGACACACCACAGGGCTCAGGACAGAGGGAGCTTCCTGGCAGCAGCTGCGGTCTCAGCTTGCTGATCTACTTAAAAAGGCAATGTACTTAGAGTGGGGTCAGCGTACTTAAAGGAGCAATGCGCATCTCTCTCTCACACACACGGTGTGTGTCTGTCTGCCATGCTGTCTTCCCTCCCTCCATTCGTGCTGCCTTGTAGAGTGTGAGGCTACAGTAACAACAATGAGTTAACCCTTGAGGGTTCACCCAATTGCTAGTTCATCATTCAGCAGTAAGGCATTCCCCAGGAAATATCCCACCCTCTGACTTCACCATCTCAGCCAAGCTTCACAATCATCATTGCAGTGTACCAGTATTAAATTGTTTAACTCTGTGTATACTGTGTGTGTGTGTATATATGTGTATATATATACACACACACACACACAGTATATATATATATGTAGTATATATATACAGTATATATATATTAGTCTTTTGTCTGGTGAAATTTTTTTTCCCTTGAACCTACCCCTCCCCCCCCCCCATTTACATTAATTCTTATGGGGAAATTGAATTCGCTTAACATCGTTTTACTTAGTTGCATTTTTCAGGAACGTAACTACAACGTTAAGCTAGGAGTTACTGCACTAGGAAAACCATCAAGAAGTTATTGGTCTGAACAGTATTCAATTCAATTCCGCACTGCTAAGATGTACAGGAGAGGCAGTGAGGCACAGGGGTGGTGAGGGAAGCCAGTGGCACTGTGCCAACTGAATTATGACAGCTGCCAATGAGGCTGAGAGCTCAGAGCTCTGTAGAGAGAAAAACCCTACCTGTGAAATCCCTCTCTGCTCTGAATCCTAGGACCCCTAAGGATCTGGCGGCTACGCCATTTACCTGCTCCATGAAGCCCAAACACCTCAAGGTGACCCTTGTAGAATTGTCAATGCCATCCCTGTGGCTTTCACTGTTTGGAAAATAGTCTGACCTATAAGATCCATGTAATACTTAGCAGGAGCGGCGCCGGGGTTTTTGCCGCCCTAGGCGGCAGCGCTCCTCCTATGAGCATTCGGCTCCGGGGGTTCTTCTGCTCTTTGTCTTCAAGGCACTTTGGCAGTGGGTCCCGGAGCGAGTGAAGGATCCGCCGCCGAATTTCCACCGAGGACGGCAAAATGCCGCCCCCCAAATCCTGCTGCCCTAGGCGACCGCCTAGGGTCGCCTAGTGGAAGCACCGGCCCTGATACTTTAAGCTAAATAATTTACTGCCGGTGATGGTGTTGATCTGTGAAGTGACATATAGGCTGAACATACATCTAGAGCTTGGGCTTCTTCCCTTTTCCCGTTCTAGTTCTGCACGAGACGTTTATGTTGCACAATAAATGGCACCAGCTTGCTAGACCCTAAAACCCTGTCTTTTTTTGTTTGTTTGCCTTTAGCCAGCAACATTGTTTTCATGTCAACTAAGGCCGTTTTGGTGGATTTTGGTCTAAGCGTTCAAATGACAGACGACACCTACTACCCCAAAGACCTCCGAGGAACAGAGGTAAGAATGTGTGCACGAGGAAAGCCCTGTGATTGCGTTGTTGTTGCGTTGTAATGATTTTCAGACTTTCCAGAATACTTTAGTGAAATTAATGTCTTATTTTTTAAAAAATCATTTTTTTCTCGCACTTAATTTGTTTTGTGACATAGTCTTAATTACAATTGACTTTTTAGATTAGTGACTGGGGAAATGTGACTGTTCTATCTTGTAAATTTTATTTATTATCCTCAAACTAGTCAATTTACTAACTATGGTTAAATCCAGATCCGAGGGCGAAATTCTAGTCCCACTAAAGCCAATGGTAAAACTCCCATTGACCTCAGTAGGGCTGGGGTTTCACTCCAAGGGATAGCTCCACAAATCCAACATTTGGATCCCAAACCCCCTGCTCAGCTGCAGCCAATCCTGTAGACGTCTAAATTCCCTAGGTGCCTAAGTTTCTGCTAGTGAGCACGCGCAAATCCACCTCCATCCTGACACCTGGTGCCTAGCTCTCGCTTAAGCCCCAGCAGGATCCTCAAACCTGACATTCCTCCATATAGGTGCCTAAAATATATTTTAGGCCCCAATTACGCACAGCGGTAAGCTCTTGGATAAGCCAACAGGGCTCCTCACAGGCTTAAGTCTTTCCGGGATTGGAGTCTTGCTTAGCAACTGAGAAGAGGCAGTTGTCTTGGATGGATGAAGAAAGCATTGCCTTGCTTAGTATTGCCAAAGAGGCTGTGCTACAGGAAATGTTTCCGCTGGAATGCTGACTCTCTTGTCATTTTGATAGGCTTTCCGAGCAAAGAATATGTATGTGTTTAAAGGAGACGTTTACATAACCCTCTCCAGAGGAGTGATGTGCTACTTGCAAGGGCAGCACAGACTAGTACGTTTCAAAGACGCAATTGATGTTTCAGGGAACATTTTGTTTCAGGAGGATGCTGGAACATTTTTTTCTGGCACGTTTTTTTCTGGCTTTCCAGTCAGAAGAGTTCAGAACGGAGATACTTTTACCTTACTAAAAATAACTAGCTCCATGCTGTTAAGCTGACAAAATGCCTTTTCATTCTGTATGACAGTGTTGGGTATGGAGCTGTGTGGTGGGAAAGAGGTGAAATCCTGAGGTAGACTTTCCAAGGGAGGGAGAAGATGTGTGTAAATAGGGAATATTTAGGTTTGTGGCATGGAAAGGTGGAGTTAGGCTTGCTTAGAATTAGACCAAGAGTGCATGAGCCAAGTTCTGCTTAGTGAGAAAACACACTTGCTTATTTATGTAGGATTGATTAAATGACTCTGTAGTGTGAAGCCAGTTAAGTGCTCAAAGTCCTGTATATTCACAAGGCATAAGCAAATTCATCCAGTCCCTTAGTGCATAGACACATCTTCCACCTCCTGTGGGGGAAAAAAAAAAAGACACTCAGGGGGCAATGGTCCTCGGTGGTTGCTGTGCTGTTGGTGCATTGCAGCCTCATAAGAGACATAGGTGAGATTGTGGAGAATGGGGGTGGGGAGACTCAAACTTTAGGTAAAGCTTTGTGGGAATACACACAGGCTACCCCATGAATTTTAGGGCCTAGAAGGAAAGACTCATACTGTGCTTCCTGCTGGCCTTCATCTCCCTCCAACCCCACCCTTAGCAGTGCCTACCTGGCATGCAAGGTTGCTGTGTCATCAGTGGATGGCCTAGCTGCCAGTGACCCACCTGTGTTGCCTCTGAAAGCTCTAGAGGGATGGTTACTGCTATTCTCTGCTAGGCAGGTATTTATACTGCAATCACACCTCTGTTATCTGAGTGGTAATTGGTGGTAATGCTGTGTGTGACTTGCCACACAGAGCATTCCAAGGGTAAGTTCTTGTTGCAGGGTGATTTCGGATAATGCCAGTTGTTCAGAGGGCATTGGATGAGGGGGAAATGTAAACTAAAGCAAATATACTGGCCTGCAAACCTAATGGGTGGACAATGCAATGGCCTGTTGAAATTTAGCTCCCCAGGCCCGTGAGCTCTGGGAGTGCTGTGCAGGCAGCATCCTCATCCCCAGCAAGAGGGAGTGCCTCCGGCAGTCTGGCCAGCTGATTACTGAATGGAGCTGATGGCTCCAAGTGAAGTTCTCTCCAGGCTGAACTGGAAAGTGGGATGTCTGCGTATTGAGGACAGGCAGGGTGTACAGTTGAACAAATGGGGAGGGGGACTGTCACTGTCCAATTGTGGTGCCTAACCTAGGGGGAAGGCAAAAGCAGAGGCTCACCTTCCTTTGAATGCCCTTCCCAGATTTACATGAGCCCCGAAGTGATACTCTGCAGAGGTCACACGACGAAAGCGGACATCTACAGCATGGGGGCTACCATCATTCACATGCAGACTGGCAGCCCACCGTGGGTGAATCGATACCCTCGCACCTCATACCCATCGTACCTCTATATAGTAAGTATCCATGAACAGCTTACATCAGCCAGCCAAAGAGAGAGAGAGCCTGCTGGGTTCTTGTTCGTAAATCCCCAAGCTTCCAGGGGAGTCTGAAAGTATTTGCTGCCAGAGAAATGATGCCATTGGCCCAGCTCTGAAAGAAATATTATAGAGACAAAAAGCAGGTTGTGATAACTTAGGAGGTGACACAGAGACTGAGAGAGAGCCAATATTAAGATTAAATAGCTACAGTTCTACGGCACTTGGATGCTTTGTGAGGATGAGCTTAGAGTTATGCAAAACCCAGTCATTTCAAGTGCACGTGGGTTCACATTTGTTGCCGCTATGGGGTTTGAACAAACCTAAAAAACGCCGAGAAAAATTAACTAAAAACCTCTCAATTTCACCCAGTTTTGCACTGAAGCCTGGCAATTTTCTCATGCATAATGCTTTAAATGGGCTCCAGTTTTCTTAAAAGGTTTACAGGCCTTTGGCTGAACCAGTCTGAATCTTCGGTTTACATTTAAACCTGAAAACAGGTGAGGTTTGCATGATTACCTGTTCCATTGTGACTGTTCAGCAAAGTGCCAGAGTGGCAAGTTTTTATAACTTGTGAGTTATGAGAGGGGAATTCCCAATTGTCGAAACTGCCAATGGCAACGAGGAAGTTATCATCTTAATGCTGAGAGGTCTTTCTTTCTTGTTTGCTAGATACACAAGCAAGCGCCCCCATTAGAGGACATTGCAGAGGATTGCAGCACCAGCATGAGAGAGCTGCTGGAAGCTGCTCTGGAAAGGAACCCTAATCACAGACTGTCTGCTGCAGACTTACTAAAACATGAGGCCTTGCATCCTCCACCAGAGGACCAGCCACGATGCCAAAGTCTGGACTCAGCCCTGTTTGAAAGGAAAAGGCTGCTGACAAGGAAGGAGCTGGAGTTGCCAGAAAACATTGCAGGTACAACAGCAGGCTTCCTGCTCTTGTGCTTTTATACTCTATTCCCCATCTACATTGTATTCACTGACACAAATAAAGCTCAAGGGCTCCAGGGCCTCTTGACGAGAGAACTCAGTAAAAATCTTGACAAGACGAGGTCAAATGCAGGTCTCAATAAAATGTGGCAAAACTCCCATTGACTTCAGTAGGACCAGAATTTGGCCTAAATTCTGTAATTCCAGAAGAATCAGCTTGCCAGAAAACCCTGGCAGTCCTCCAGGGCAGTTTTATAAAAGTACATATTACTTTACTGAATTGTTTGAACTCTCTCCAGTACTAAGGCCATTTTATTATTAGGTATTAGTTTGGGAGTTTTTTAATATGACCTTGTTTTATTTTAAAAACCCTTTATACCTTGACCATGAAGTTGAGGAGTGTCAGCACTGTCATGCAAGGCCTCTGAAAGGAACTGTTTAAAAATAAAAAGCAAATGATTACTCACATACCAAGCCACCATACTGTGTGCGATACATGCCTATGAAGGGTGAGGCATGAACCAGTTAAAATCTCACGGGGTTCAATATCAGGTCCGAAAGGAGATCTGGCGCCGCCAACCTGTTAACAGCCTGTATTTCTCTTTTCCTTTCTTTTTGAAATATTTGGTGGACGCATCCTGGCAATAGGCACTTAGAAAAACAAAACACAACCAAACAAAAGCCCCAATCCTGGTGAAACACTTCCTTTTATTTACTTTATTTTTAAATGACTTAAATCACACCTATGCCCATGCATAATCAGTAATACAGTACAACAAAACCCTAGCAGCATTAAAGTAATAAAAATAAAACTGTGTTTCTGTTTGGGGTGGTGGTAGCTCAGTGGTTTGAGCATTGGTCTGCTAAACCCAGGGTTGTGAGTTCAATCCTTGAGGGGGCCAGTTAGGGATCTGGGGCAAAAATCTGTCTGGGGATTGGCCCTGCTTTGAGCAGCAGGTTGGACTAGATGACCTCCTGAGGTCCCTTCCAACTCTGATATTCTGTGAATGGAGATATTCCATCTCCTAGAACTGGAAGGGACCTCGAAAGGTCATCGAGTCCAGCCCCCTGCCTTCAGCAGCAGGACCGAGTACTTATTTTACCCCAAATCCCCAAGTGGCCCCCTCAAGGATTGAACTCACAACCCTGGGTTTAGCAGGCCAATGCTCAAACCACTGAGCTATCATGGTCCTACTGTTTGCTTTGTTAGGTGCACAGTCCTTTGACCGCTACAGCACTCCAGCGGCAGGGCTCTGTTGAGGATCAAGGGACATTTGGCCATTAATCTGGGACTCTGAGTTCGGCGTCTGAGTGCCCAGGTCACTCGTGATAAAAGTGCTCGAGGGAGTTCTGAGGTTGCAATAGCTTCTTCAGAACCATTGCAATGTATGAAATCGTGCTAAGTAAAGTAGAGGCCCAGCTCCAGTTCTGTACTTTGCACGGCCTAAGGGGAGATGTAATCTGGCCAGTGGAGGGTAGTTCTCAACTGGCATAATGCCAGCAGAGCTCCCTCTATTACGCCAGCCTCTCCTTTGGAATCCTGGCTGAGGGGATGATGGAGCTCTGCTTCCCTCTGGCAATTCCCAGCTGGTATATGGGCCTTTAGAGACCAGATACGACTTTCATTCTGCTCTATCATCAGGAACCAGTTCCAGTCCACCCACGTCCACTGAATGAATCTGGCCCTTTTTTTTGCTCTGGAGATGCTGATGACTTGCAATATTTTGTTTAAAAAATTAAGCTTTTTTGAATAAGTTCAAAAAAAGAGTAAAAAATAAAAATTAGGCCATTAAAAAATGTTGGCAGTGTTTTAAATGAGGTTTTTATCTTAGTTTCTAAGGCATTAACACATTTCACCTCTTTCCTTTTCAGATTCATCTTCATGTACGGGGAGTTCAGAGGAATCGGAGCTGTTAAAAAGGCAAAGGTCACTGTACATAGACCTGGGCGCTTTAGCTGGCTACTTTAACATTGTTAGGGGACCACCAACATTAGAATATGACTGACTCTAGTGATTTCTTGTGTCTGCTGGTCAGAGTTGGAAATCTGTCTCTTCAAGCTAATTTTGTCTATAAAATAGTGCCTTTTTGAGCTGTAAAATGTGAACTGCTTTTAACTGCACAGATGATTAAGCTAACCGATGTGTGGACTCTGGTAAATGTATCCCAAGCAAGCAATGACATGTTCCCTGACAGCAAACCAACAATACGAAAGAGAAAACACCTTTTTGGGAATATTGTTATCTGGAGACTTTCCCTGCACTGTGTGTTTTTTGTACATGCACTTTACATGCTGTGGGCTATTTAAATTTTATACAAGTAGAAAAATCCTTTCATTTAAAAAAATTGAATATTTTGGGGCAGATCCTCCAGGGTGACTGAGCTGCACTCACTGTAAGTCTGGCTGGGGAGACTTTGGGCCATCTTTGGCAATCCTACCTGATCTTCAACTGGCTCAGCCTTCGGCCAGTCTCTCAGGGCAAATTAGGGCAGCTTTTAGATTGATGTGAACCATGCCAGCCACCAGTGGGCCTTGGAGCTATGCATCACTGGGGCGCGGGGGTGTACTGGTCACTCTGTCTTTGTTCTTCCCACACCAGGAAAAAGGTGGGGGGGTATATAGGATTTTTTGAGGTGGCTCCACAGCACATGGAGGTTCTCTGAGAAGGGAGAATCCTCCACAGGCTTTAGGCCAGCTTTGTGCTATGAGAGCAGTGCAACCTCCCCTTACAAGCCAAGCATTCTGGCCCTGAACGTGCACGTGATTCTGAATGTTCTGTACATTAGAGCCGATGCAAGTATATCTAGGGCAGCGATGAGTTTGCTGCCAGTAATGTTGGGAGAATACCTGATTGTTGTATTAATCACTAATAAGCTGAACAGAATGCTTTAAAACTGTCCATGTTGAACTGACTTAATAACTATGTATGGGAAAGCATGTCAATAGTGACACGCTGTGTTTACGTTCCTATGGAAACAATGTATCTTGTTCTTGCTATGCCTAATGTATCTAAAACGTAATGTTTTGGATGATAGTAAAACTGTGTAAACTACATAGTTCTGTACATCCCATGGGATGAGAATGTAAACTTTTATAAAACTCTTCAATGCTTAGGATCATATCTCTTTTAAGCATTTGTTAAAGATGGCATACTATGTATGTTGTATAGCAAATCCCTTATGAAGCAAGGCCTCGTTTTTAGATGTAAATTATTCGATGGCGCCTATCCAAGAGATGATCTTAAACTGATTATTTTCACTTTGATACCAATAGGATTGGATGAATAAATCCGATGTGTTGTGTTGTGAAGTGTTCATTCTGTCAGTTCTTTCAGGATATTTAGTTCTGGTTGAATTTCAGAGCCAACTAGGAGAGTTTACAGTGGGCTTGTGGAACTCTGTTTACACTTTCCCCTGCCAATGTAAATTACTCTTGTCCAATGACAACGTGAGGATTTCGGGGAAGATCAGTGTGACAGTTGTATGGGTGCTCCCAAACCTCTCTGCAATACCAGGTAAAAAGGAGTGATCTTCATGCCATCTCCTGCCATCTGCTTATCAATAGTTGCCAACATTTAGAAAAGTTTCCAAGGTACCAACTTTCAAATAAACTTTGGAGGATGGGGATGGGGAGGTCTTGGGGTGCTTAGCCTCCAGTCAGTAGAGGGTATTGCGTGCACTCTGGTGAATGTTAGGCAGCTGTATAGATCACTTCACAAACATTAACTGCTTGTCACCCCGCCCCTTCAAGGGCTGGCATGTGAGGAATTGTGTTCTGGTTTCTCACATGGTACATTGGAGGCAGTGGCGGTGACTTAACTAAAGCCTCCAAGGGAGTTGATATTAGAGCTGGGATTGAACCCTAATCATCTAAGCTTCAGCCTCTGAGCATGCACACTGCAGCCTCCCCATAGGCATCCAGATGTCTGTCCCTCACCTAAGTCCTAGGGCAAGGTCCAGTATTGGTTTATTACTGAAGGCTGCAATGTTGTTGCCTTGGTAACGCTGGTCAGGCTGCTCAGTGGTTTTGTCCTAACAGGATATAATGCAGCCTACTAATTCATCAGACCTCCATGTTACTCATAAAAGACCACGGGCCCGGTTTGGTGACAAAGGCACTTGGCCAGATTTACTGTTCTCAAGGCACAGCCCTAGTGCCCTGGCTCTGTGGTTACAGGTACACTAACCCATTAGTGCCCAGTGGCAAGGAGTGGCTCAGTCAACAGCAGGAGTCTCTGCTGTCCCCTAGGCTAGGGGTTCCCAAACTGTGGTATGTGTACCTCTGGGATATGCAAGACCGCTCTGGGGGGGTATGCGGGAGAAATTGTGTAATGGTGGATTTTATTTATTTATTGCATTTTCATAATAGGCTACTGAGACGAAGTTTTAAAACTCTGTGGGAAATTAATTATTTAAAATACGGCAGTTAATTTACTTCAAGATGTACCAATGAGAACACAGATACATAGAGATGCGGATGTGCAGCACCCTCCCCTCCAATCACCATACAGCATGGGTTCAGTTGCCCAGCAACTGTCAAGTCTAACGGAGTTTAGAATTTAGGGTAGTTTTTTTTCCAGTTGTATATGTCGCACTATAACTATATCTGTATGTAACAGTGAAATAGGGATAGATGGCTAAAGACAGGTAGCATTAAAAAGAATGCACAAAGTATCGGTGAGGAGAAGGGTACGAGTATGCAGGCAGCTAGTAGATCTGGAAGAGGGTATGCAATAAGGAAAGTTTGGGAAGTTCTGCCCTAGGCCATACAAAGGATCAAGGCAAGGTACCCCAACATTATAGACTCAGATAAACCACTGGGATAAACAACTTACATACCACCTTACATATTTCAGGACATCTGTTTGTTACCTCCCCTTGTTCCTGATATCTTGGAGACAACCTCCCTACTCATTGTTCTGTCAAACCATCTTATCTTGTACTAGATTGCGGTGTATCTGTACTAGAAGCCTTCTGAAATGTATTTCAAATTTACAAGTGTTATTATTTAGCCAACGCTAGGCCTACTCTGGTTCACAGCCTTTGGTTCAGGCCTCAAACTTGCATCAGGCCCTGTGTTCCAGGCTCTTTTTCTCTCTACTACATTCCCCTGCTTTTTGTTATTTTATGGGCAGGACATTTACCCACCAGAAAAGCATAATGCATGAACTGAAAATGACCCAGTGGGCTAAACACTGTTTCTTGTCCATTTTGCTTCACCCATCAATACATTCATGCCCCAAGTGTCCAGTGGTCTGCACATTCACTCATACGACATGCGGAGAGATTTCTTCAGTCATTTGATCTTAATCCCATATCGTGGGCCTGGTAATGTTAGGTCCAGGACTTTAGTTGAGAAGTGTAGTCATAGAATCACAGAATATCAGGGTTGGAAGAGACCTCAGGAGGTCATCTAGTCCAACCCCCTGCTCAAAGCAGGACCAATTCCCAACTAAATCATCCCAGCCAGGGTTTTGTCAAGCCGGGCCTTAAAAACCTCTAAGGAAGGAGATTCCACCACCTCCCTAGGTAACGCATTCCAGTGCTTCACCACCCTCCTAGTGAAATAGTGTTTCCTAATATCCAACCTAGACCTCCCCCACTGCAACTTGAGACCATTGCTCCTTGTTCTGTCATCTGCCACCACTGAGAACAGCCGAGCTCCATCCTCTTTGGAACCCCCCTCAGGTAGTTGAAAGCAGCTATCCAAATCCCCCCTCATTCTTCTCTTCTGGAGACTAAACAATCCCAGTTCCCTCAGCCTCTCCTCATAAGTCATGTGCTCCAGACCCCTAATCATTTTT